CTGCGTGTTGGGTTGTACTGAGGTTGCACAGTTGGATGCATTGTATTGAATGTTGCATGTTGGGAGGTGTATTGAAGGTGCATTGTAGACAGAGGAAGGAGGACCATGTCAGCTGGGGAAGGCAGTACTTCTCAGAAGAGAGGACATCTGAGCGGATATGTCATTTGTACGTAAGGGTGTGTATGAAGGCACCTCTTAGAAAAATAAAGAGCTTAAGCAAAGTCAAAGAGGGTGTTTCAAGAAGGGCTAAACTATCTCCAGGAAGAAATCAGGTTTAGGTAAGGCAAGGAAGTGGAGGGAACCTTCTCAGAAGAGGCTAATATTTGAGCATTAGGGTTTTTGATGATGAGCTGACAGGAATAAAGTGCAAGAAGAGGTGACCAAAGAGACAGTGTCTGAGAACGCCAGGGATGAGAGAGATGGACAGAATTAACGGCCAAGGGTTTCCAAACTTTACAAGTAAGCACCATGTTAAGGAGCCAGAGTGGCTTCGGGTATTAGGAGCGTTTGAAGAGTTCAGTTGTTGGTGTCTTCTGCATTCTCAGCCTGGAAAAGCAAGGGTATGCATGGGTGGACACAAAGAATTCATCTCAAGGGGAGCAGGAACAATGAAAAATAAACATGGCTCCAAAGCAAAAACCAGGGCTCTTTCGGTTGGAAATAACAAAAATAAACCCTCAAGCAAGTTTAGCAAAAAGGCCAATTAGGATGTGTAAACAAAAAACACTAAGAGCCAGGTGTCCCCACCTCAAGGAGGACTAAATGCCCTGGAACTCTTTCCCGCTGAACCTGTTTCTCACTTCTTTCTGCTTGAGTTCATTCCTTCCTACTGCGGACCAGCTGGTCCACGAATCAGGAGCTGTCTTGAACATCTATTCTCCCATTTTCACCACCAGAGAGAAAAGCCCTCTGTTCTTCAGGTCCGACCTGAAAGATGTTAGGGAAGGATTCAAATGCTTTAGTCAGCTGTCCTATAATGATAACAATTTGGGACACCTTCCCTTTATTTTGCGGCTTAAGGTTTCCAAACTAGGTCACAAATATAAATTTTTACCCCAAAACCATGTGAGGATAGATCTGTAGCTATGAGTTCTTGAGTGCTGTGCCCAGCCCACACTAACCACTATTACAAAGAGGGGAGATATTCTGATCCATCCACCTTTGGTCAGCAGTCTAGCCCTCAACTTCTCATGGCAGCCAGGGAGGGGAGTTCATGTGAAGACACGGCATCTCCCGTTTCAACCACAGTTAATGGGTGTGGAAGGTGCTGGAGACCTAAGAAGAGGGTGCCCTTGTCAGAGGAACAGAAGCTGGACAGTTGAGACAAAATCCACATCAAGCCAAATAAGGGGTAGGCTAAACTGACCATCACAGAGGAATACCGCACCGCTGCTAAGAACTTTGCAGGAAAATGTTTAATAATATGGAAATACATTCACAACAATTTAAGGGATAAAAAAATTTAAAGAGTGTGAAGAATATGATTCCACTTTAAGGGTCATAGAATGTTCCTCTTAGTGGGAATCAGGCCCTGTTGACATGAGTATATAACCATTTTAAATACCTATTTTACTGCATTTACTACAAGATTCAGTTACGTTGTTCTCCTCACTCATTTTCAGATTCCCCAGATGAACTTTCATTTTCTATCTTCATTTCCTAATTTCATTTTCCATCTCGTTCTCCTTCAAGATAGTCAGTACTGACTGATCTATCCTGTACTTTCAAAATTTCCTTTGCCTTCCGTTTTTACGGCTTTGCAATTTGCTTTGACTCTTGCTCCAAATCTCTATCAGTCTCTCAAAATTAGAAATGATCTAATTTCTATCAACAGGGAAATAGATAAATCAGCAAAAGGTAGAAGTAGAAAGATACTTTAAATATATGACATATCTAAGTTTTTAAAAACATACCAAATAAAGCTATGTATTGTTTATGAACCTGGAGCAAACCTGAGTGTTGGATAAATGAGTTTATATTGCTCTCTGAACTTTATATTTGGAATATTTTATAATAAAATGCGATGTGCACAAACCTTTTAGAAGTAGACCACACTTAAAGCTCTCCTTTGGAAGCTTTCACTGACTTTGCAAGTTTGTTTCCTATTCCGGCTTCATGAGGATGATGGGCACCGCTAATGTGGAACACCTCCAGCGCCCATCCAGCTTACTGTCGTCTTATGGGCTTAAAAAGAACATCAACTTGTCTAAGCTTGGTATTTGAGAAACTCAAATATAATAAGCCCCCCATCCTGGAACTTTTCGGCAACGCGTTAACACAACTATCTGCAGCCTCTCTATGCACACCACTGTTTATGAAACAGTCACCTCTCTGCTAGATTTTAGTGGCAACGTTGTTAAAAAAATATCTTCTAATAAATATTTAATAATGTATTCGTATGCAGGCATTCCTTCATTTCTTGACTATCTACTCTGTGTCCATTAGTTGGGATACAGTAGTTAACAAGATGAATACAATCTTTGCCCTCATGGAGCTCACATTCCAGGGGTAGGTGGGGTTGGTAACAGGTGAAACACTTTCAAAGCGCTTACTGAGTGAAATATGAATGACACAAAGTAAGTTGTGGTACTGGGAAGAGTTCAAAACAGGACTGGAAGGTGTCAACTGGCCTGAGGGATGACAAGGAGTCAGTCAAGTAACAGGTTATTCCAGGCCCAAGGACGACAAACCCAGCAGCCTGAGGCAACCACAAGCTCCAGGAATCAGTATGTCTAGAGCAGCTGAAATGCACAAGTAAAGGGAGAGTGGAAAGAGATAAAGTCAGTAAGGCAGGAAGGCCCAGACTCTTCAGGGCATAGCAGGTCAAGCACCGAGATGGGAGCAACTGGTCTCAGCTGAGGAGTGACAGGGTTTGATTCATGATTTTTTTTTTTTTTTTTTTTTTGGTGAGGAAGATTGTCCCTGAGCTAACATCTGTGCCAATCTTCTCCATTTTGTATGTGGGATGCCTCCACAGGATGGCCTGATGAGCAGCGTGTAAGTCCGTGGATTCATGATTTTTTAAAGCGATCCCTTTGGCTGCTGTGTGGATAAGAGTGGAGCAGGAGCAAGCGGGTAATTAAGAGGCTTCTGAAGTAGATGAGAAAGGGTGGTAGCGTGGATGAGGGCGCCGACAAGGGAGATGGAGAGAAATGGCTGGACGCAGAGCTCCCGTCCGCCGCAGGAACTGACAAGATGCGTCGACTCTGGTAGGGGATGAGCTCAAACAGCGGTATCTTAGAGGGCAGCTCCCCTCTACCTGAGGGTAGAGAAGTATGTCAGGGAGCACGTTGTCAAAGAGGTGACGTTTAAGCAGGTATGAAAATACAGAAAATAACAAGTGGTGGTGAGGGTGTGGACAAATCGGAACCTTTGTTAGTGCTGGCGAGAACACAAAATAGTGCAGCGGCTGTGGAAAATGGTATGGCATCACTCAAAAAATTCGCCAGAATTCCCACATGACCCACCACTTCTGGGTATATACCCCAAAGAACTGAAAGCAGCGACTTGAGCAGACATTTGCAGACGTACCATGTTCCTAACAGCATTTTTCACAACAGCCAAAAGGCGGAAGCCCCCAAGTGTCCATCACAGGACAAAAGGCCGAACACGACGAAGGCACTTCCCACACACGCCACCACCTGGATGAACCTTAAAACACTATGCCGAGTGAGACGTGCCAGTCCTCCGAGATGCCAGGCTGGTGGTGAGGACCCACCTCCAGGCCCAAGGTGACAAAGTCAGGTCGCCTCCGTTTGGATGAGCGCAGTGAAGGAACGTCCTAGGGTCATGAGACGGGTTCACAAGGGCAACTCGCTCCCCCGGAGACGCTCCCCGAGGGAAGGACTAAGTTCAAATTCACACCCGCCTGCGCGAGGCAGCAGTGACTCAGACAGAGCCCTCCGGGACCAGCCGATAAGACGAGGGGAAGGCTGATAAAGAAAGGGCAAAAGGCGAGAACGGAGCGGAGTTCGGGAAGGGGCAAGGGCGACTCCCCCAGGGGCACCCCGCTCCCGGCCCGGAGTCCCCGAGCCGCACGCAGCCCGGGCATGGGGTCTGCCGACCGGCCCCCGCCATGTTTCCCGGACTCCCCACCTCGCGGGAAAGCGCCCTCCTACAGTCTTGCGCTCGAAACTCAGAAGGAGACCAGAACATCCCTCCTTCCCTCTAGCTCGGCCCCAGCCCTCCCCGGGACAGAGGCGGCGAGCGAGGCTGCCGTGCGGGCGGGCCAGGACGCCCCCGGACGGACGGGACCCCGCCGACCCCCACTGCCCGCCCTCCACCCCCGGGGGCCCGCTTCCGACCGTGCACCGCGACCGCGACACGACTCCGCCGCCGCTGCTGCTCGCGGGGATCCTGCGGCGCGGAGGGAAGGCGCCCCGCCCTCGGGCGCAGGGATGCGGGCGGGCGCGGGGGTCCCCGCGGCCCCAGGCCCGGCTCACCCTTCTCCTTGGTGACGAGGGACACGAGCGGCATGCGCGGGCGGTCGCTGAAGACCGCGGCCTGCTGCACGAGCGCCTGGCGCACGCTGCGGAAGTCGTTGAGGACCACCACCAGGTGCGGGCCGAGCGAGAAGCTGAACACGCTGCCGTACTCGCGGGCCAGGCCGGCCAGCAGGCGCGGCGGGCCCACGGCGGCGTCCGCCCCGGCCGCGCGGCGGTGCAGCCAGCTCCCCCGGCGCAGGCGCGGCGGCAGCAGCGCGAAGCCGAAGTTGCCCAGCACGGGCCAGGGCGTGGGCCCCGGCGGCAGGCCCCGCGCGCGCCGCCGCCGCCGCAGCCAGGCCCAGGCGAGCAGCGCGGCCAGGCCGAGCAGCAGCACCTCCGCGGGGCCCATGGCCGGGCCTGTCGGGTGCCCGCGGGGCCGAGCGCCGCCGCCCCGCGCTGGGGGAGGAGGGCCCCGGCGCCGATTGGCCGCATCTCCCGCGCGCTCCAATCCGCGCCGCCCGGGCCCCGCGCGCTCCAATCCGCGCCGCCCGGGCGGTCTGGGCCGCGGCGCGCGGCGAGGGCGGGCCAATGAGGTCGGCGCCCGCCGACGGTCTGCCGGAGACCCGTGCCCGCCCAGGGCCGTCCGCGTGACCGCCCGGAACAGGAGCGCTGGCCCTACGGTCTGGCGCCGCGACGGGCGGGCGATTTGCTTGTCACTCGTTGTCCGCCGAGTGCGTGACCGTGGGTCCACCGGCCCCCCGGTGACTCAGCCCCACACCTGCACCTGCACCTACACCTGCACCCTGAACTGGGAGGGTCCCTACCCGCCTGGGTAAAGAAAGACGCGGTTACTTCTGTGCACAAGGGGGTTCGTGTGGGGGGGAGCAACGGGTGTGCAGCGTGCGCAATGTATGTGCAGTGTGAGCTTGTGCAGTGTGTGTGTGAGTGTGTGGGTGTGCAGTGTGTGCAATGTATGTGCAGAGTGAGTGTGAGCTTGTGCAGAGTGTGTGGGTGGCTGTGCAGTGTGTGCAATGTATGTGCAGGGTGTGATGTGACTGTGTGCAGTGTCGGGGCGGCCCACGCTGGGACAGGACCGGCGGTGCAGGGCTGAGCGAGCCGGTGGAGCCCACCTGGAGGGAGGCAGAGCCCCGCGCCCGTGTACCCGCGGCTGGGGGAGGGGAGACCTATCTGGAGTCTGCCTGCAGGATTTAATTAGATAATAATATAGAAGAAAATTCATCGGGTGAGGAGGTTGTTGTGAGACCAGCCCTGAAGGGCTGAGGCTGCAGTATTAAGCATGAGTTGTGTGACACTTGAAGACAGAGTCTTTGCTCCTCTATGATAAGGGCTCCTGGGTGCTCCCCTCTGTCTTCTACAGGTGAAATCCTCTGGTTTCTCTTTTATGTTAGCTTGACACATAGAATTCTCCAGATTAGACCAGTTTTTATCTACTAAAAGGTCAGTTTTATATGAATCAGCTTTATTGATCATAAGGAACAAATCTGTTTCCCAATTTCTGATCCTTTTTGTTGTTCTCCATACACAAACTTTGAACACCACGCTGTACTTATGAAAGTGTGGCCAAAGCGGGTGAGCCCTCTTTATTCATTCTGTGATCCAGTCTAGTTTTTCTCTAAACTGTGATGCCAGGAGGATATGCTACATTTCAGTTCTACTCTCTTCAGATATTATTCTTGCCATGCTCTTCATAAGTTATCTTAAGCTTAACCAAAAAATACCGCACCTCATATCTTCTATAATTAGCCATTGTTAGATTACTTTTCTCCTTTTTATGAATTTAGAGAATTTTAAAAATTTAAACTACTTGTTTGCAGACATGATCTTCAACATGTCATCTACTTCTCTTCGTAGGCTTCTCTCGAAAATAGTAGCCACTAACATCTTTCCTTACAAGCAACTAAAATTCACAAATGTTTTAAAAATAGTCGAAGGTGTGACTGATGTAACAACTGTAACAGACACCCTCCTGTACAGGATATAATTTCATTCATAGCTTTTTCCTAAATATCCTCTCATTTCGTTAACAGCTCTGTGAGGCAGGTAGGAAGTGTTAAGGGCTGAACTGTGTTCTCCCCATGTTCATGTCTCCTAACCCCCAGGACCTCAGAATGTGACTGTATTTGCAGATAGTGTCTTCAAAGAGGTAATTAAGGTAAAATGAGGTCATATGAGTGGATCCTAATTCTGTATAACTGGGGCCCTTATAAGAAGAGGACATTAAGACAAGGACAGAAGACCGTGTGAAAACACAGGGCAGGTCAAGGAGAGAGGCCTCAGAAGAAACCAGCCCTGCCAGTACCTTGATCTCGGACTTCGAGCCTCCATAACTAGGAAATTTCTGTTGTTTAAGCCACGCAGTCTGCAGGACTGCACTTTTTTATGGCAGCCCTTGGAAACTAATACACAAAGCTGTATTCTTCCTATTACTATGAACAAACTATCCTAAACATGAAGCCACATAGTTCACCCAGGGCTTCTTAGGGATGAATTTCCCCCAAATTATATTCAGGGCTTTCTTGCCAGAAAAAGGAATATTTTCTGCTCCATCCTTCCTATTTTAAGTAGGTGAATAAAATAATCAGTAGCAGTAAAATAAGGGAGAGAATACTAAAAGGTCTTTGGGGTAAGAAGTGAGGGGAAGGAAGACAGAGCATCGAGGAAAAAAAATTTTTTTATTGCATCCTCAAAGATAATTTTAAACCACTCACTTTCCCACTCAAATCCTTCTTGCTGCACATGGATTTTGGCCAGAATTGTTGGTAACAGTATATCCAAAATATCTAAGTACTTAGTATTTTGTTATCAAGTGTGGCGTTCAATTACTCTATTTGTAAAACTACAATTGTCCAGCTGGTTTGTAATTCCCTGGGAGGGAAGTGCCACACGCGACACCATCCAGAGTCAGTGAGCATGAACCGAGAAGGCTTATGCCTTAAGAAGAATTTGCAAAATGCTAATGAAAAGAGAAAGTAGAAATGCTACTGACACTATTTAGTTGCACACCTCCACTAGCCGTTTAAAAACTAATCCCCCCACCGCCTTTAAGTTCCTCTGACTTGCGTCATGTACGCTCCTTTGTCTTCTCCATACAGTGTCGATGCACTTCTCTGTGTGCTCTCTGAGCGTCCGTGTGCCCTGCCTGAAATCGGGATAAAGAATGTGCCTGCGTCAGTGTAACGGCTGGAGGAAATAACCAGCACAGCGCCTGGCCTGGAGGTAAGGCTCAGTGAGCGCCAGCTGTAATGATGACAGCTCTCGTCGGGCCCTAACAATGCCTTCAACTCAGAAGGTTGGCACTGTCGCTGCCCTTTCCTCACCCCTGCAGCTTGACCTGCCGCTCCAAAACTAGATTGTGAGACCGGCCAGGAGAGTAACTTGTGTTCTGTATTCAGCCTCTGTACCTTGTGTGATGAAGGAATAAACTTGCCCGTCTTCAGTATTACCCACGTCCTTCCTCTCCAGGTGCACATATGTGCTATGATTTTCCTGGAGAGGAGATGGAGGGAGGGAGGCCCCGAAAAATCTAAATATCAGGGGAAGGAGGAATCTCAAAAGTAACAAAATTGACTTCCAAGACCTTTTTTTTATTTGGACAAAGTAGTGGTGCCAGCATTGGAACAAATATTTCGTTTAATGCCCAAACTGGCAACGGTCCAGGTGTCCCTCAACAAGGACAAGGGCGGAGGAAACTGGTATATTTGTAAAATAGACTACTGCTCGGCAATAAGAAAGGTTAGTGATGATACGCCCCACAGCATGGTGACTCTCAAAAAACGTGCTGAGTGAAGAAGCCAGACACAAAGGAGTGCCTATGGAATAACTGCCTTTATCTGAACTTCTAGAAAGGCACAAGTAACCTGTGGTGATAGAAACCAGAACAGAGGGCCGGACTGGCCGGGAAGGAACATGAGAAATTTTTCAAGGGTGGGAATGTTCTAAATCTTTTTTTTTTTAATTTTTTTTTCCTTTTTCTCCCCAAAGGTCTCCGGTACATAGTTGTATATTCTTCGTTGTGGGTCCTTCTAGTTGTGGCATGTGGGACGCTACCTCAGCGTGGTTTGATGAGCAGTGCCATGTCCGCGCCCAGGACTCGAACCAACAAAACACTGGGCCGCCTGCAGCGGAGCGTGAACTTGACCACTGGGCCACGGGGCCAGCCCTAGGAATGTTCTAAATCTTGACCAGAGTGTTGGCTACCTGGGTGGATGCATTTGTCAAAATCGAACTGTGGGGGCCAGCTGGGTGGCGTAGTGGTTACCTTCCCGCGCTCTGCTTTGGGGGCCTGGGGTTCCCCGGTTCAGATCCCAGGTGCAGACCTAGCACAGCTCATCAGGTGACACTGTGGCAGCATCCCACATAAAATAGAGGAAGACTGGCACAGGTGTTAGCTCAGGGCCAACCGTCCTCACAAAAACACCAAAAAAAAAAAAAAAAAAGCCCCACAAAAAACTGAACTGTGCATTTCACTCTAGGTGAATTATATCTCAGTAGCACAAATGTGAAAATAAAATCCAGTATCTTGGGAGAAAAGGACCTGGTGAAGAAGACAGCTCCCTATTGTGAAGCGGCTGTCCGCAGTGACAGTTAGGTGATGTATTGTTATTACGACAGTGAGGGGTAGTTTAGCATGTAAATAAAGAGGAATAGAAGAGAAAGTGGTTCAAGAGTAACATTCCTCTTAAAGAATAACCGTCCTCTCCCTGGAGGCAGCCTGGCCCGACGGACGATGTCGGATTTTCCCATGATTCGCGGCGCGGCCGAGCCGTGGGCTCCCTTCTCCCCGGGGTGCAGGAGCAGGTGCAAGCCGCCAAGCTCTGCCCGGACCTTGCTGCGTCGGCAAGTCGTTAACCTTTCTTTCTTTTACTTATAATAATGAGTGAAAAAAGCTTTTATTTCTGTGCGGTAAACACCCTTAAAAAATTTTTTTTTTATGAGGTGACATTGGTGACTTGTTTTCTTCCTGTGCTGAAAGGAGCGAACTGTAACACAAGGAATCTGAGCTTCCATGGTCCCTGACAGCCGCCCTCTTAGGTAGATTGTCGGGGCTTTGCGCTTGGCCCTGATTAATGACATGTGTAGTCGCTAAGATCTGAAACAATAAAGTGTATCCACAAGGTCAGGTATGTGCCGGCCGCCCGGACAGCTGTCCCACAGCGCTGACTTGCGGCTGCAGCTCGGGACCAAGGGACCAACCTCTTTTCCAAGTCGAGCAAGAATCCGGTTTAGGAAGGATGTGGACAGGGTACCTAGTCCTCCCTTTAGGCAAGAACATACTCAAAGTAAACCAGATACTTGAAAGTCCATTTTTATTCTGATTTTAAAAAATAGTAACACATAGTTTTTGTAGAAAATTTGAAGTTGCAAGAAACTGTAAAGGAGGAAATAATAACCACCTTTTTATTTTTTCCACTCAGACATAATTTGTAATATTCCTGTATGTATCCTTTCAGTCTTTTTTATGTGTCTGATATTTTTAATCTTTATAAATACTTTCATTTACAATATTCACATATGTAATAAATGTATATCATTAAAATTTTCCACGTTGTTTTCCCATAAATCATTTTTAATTACTATATTCTAGTCCAGGCATTCAGCCACATTTCCAGGAAGTAGCATAGGCTCTGTGGGCCATATGGTCTCTGTCCCAGTGGTACAGCTCTGCCGTGGGAGTGGGAGGTAGCCGTGGACAATATGTAAATAAATGGACATGGCCATATTTCAGTAAAACTTTATTTATAAAGAAAAGACAACAGCTGGACTTAGGCTGCAGGCCATTATTTGCTGACCTCTGGATTTTAAAAATCTAGTCTATTGGTTAGGAATATTTCAAAATTTACCTGACCAACATCCTGTTGTCAACACACAGGCGATTTTCAATTTTTTCACTGTTATGAACAATACTGTGATATTTACATCTTTGATGACTTCAGTAGGATAAATACTGAGAAATGGAATTGGTACTCAGACTATCGTTACATGAAAAAGTACACATGTGCACATGGGTGAGCTTTGCCTTTCCACTTCTTGGACATAATCTCTGTTAAATGTGTGATCTGTAGGGGCTGGCCCTGTGGTGCAGCAGTTAAGTTCGCACATTCCGCTTCAGTGGCCTAGGGTTCCTTGGTTCAGATCCTGGGTGTGGACCTACATACTGCTTGGCAAGCCATGCTGTGGCAGGCGTCCCACATATAAAGTAGAGGAAGATGGGCATGGATATTAGTTCAGGGCCAGTCTTCCTCAGCAAAAAGAGAAGGATTGGCGGCGGATGTTAGCTCAGGGCTAATCTTCCTTAAAAAAAAAAAAAGTGTGATCTGTATCCTCTCAGGTTTCTTGCACACTTTCATAGATTTTCCCCTGTAAGTGGCATCATACTGTGCTTTTGGTTCACTCACCTGCTCTTTTCACTCAGCGGTGTGAATTCTCAATGTTGAGAATCTTGCTGGGTGAGAGAGTAGTGATCTGCTTCATCCTTTTTTGATAGCCGTCAGGTGTTTCACTGAGTGGACTCATTCACTCAATAAACATTTTCTGAGCACTGAGTGCTGTGCACTGCTTTCAGCACTGGGGACACGCTGTGAACAGAACAGGTGTTGCCCTTCAAGGCGCTTATTCTCTGGGGGGAGAAGACAGAGAGAAGATGAACAAAGGTGTATGTGTCAGTTAGCGATAAGTACCATGGAGGAAACAAGGCACACAGGGAGGCTGGTAGGGATTGCCATCCGTGTGTGTGTGTGTGTGTGTAGCGGGTGCTGTCTTATATCAGGTGTTTGGGGAAGGCCTCTCTCCAATACTGAGCTGATCACCCGATGGAAGGCTTGCAGACACCTGGTGAGAGCAGTGCAGATAGAGGAAACAGTGCAAAGGCCCTGAGGCTGAATTGTGCAGGAGTTTTCCAGGAACAAGGAGCCATGTGGCTGGGGTGAGGAGGCAGGGGAGGGGTGGAAGAGATGAAACCAAAGAGGTGGCCAGGAGGGCATGGTGGAGACAGGCTCTGACTCTGTGAGATGGTGAGCCATTGAAGCATTTTTGAGAAGGAAACCATCATCCAGTTTGTGTTTTAAAAGAATCACTTTGGCTGCTCTGTAAAAGGGCAGAGGTGAAACCAAGACCACTAAGAAATCCACGTAAATCTGCCACAATTTCTTAGCCAATCCTCTGTTAATAAATATATAGGTTATTTTTAGTTTCTCTCTATTACAAATAGTGCTGGAATAAATATGGCGGGGTTGTTTTTTATTTATTGTGATGAAATTCACATGACACAAAATTTACCAATTTAACCATTTTTAATGTACAATTTGGTGGCATTAAATACATTTACAACATTGTATAACTACCACTACTATCTATTTCCAGAACTTTTTCATCATCCTAAACAGAAACTGTGTACCCATTAAACAATAACCCCCCATCTTCCCCAGCCCCTGGTAACTTCCACTTTCTGGCTCTCTGAATTACCAATTCCAGATACCTTCTATAAATGGAATCATACATTATTTGTCCTTTGGTGTCTGGCTTATTTCACTTAGCATAATGTTTTTAAGGTTCATCCATGTTGTAGCATGTGTCAGAATTTCTTTCCTTTTCATAGCTGAGTAATATTCCATTGTATGTATATACTAATTATGTCTATCCATTCATCCATCGATGGACATTTGGATTGTTTCCACTTTTGGCTATTGTGAATAATGCTGCTAATTCTAATGGCTAATGTGAACACTGGTGTACAAATATTTGTTTGAGCCCCTGCTTTCAATTCTTTGGGGTATCTTATTAGGGGTGGAATTTCTGAATCATATAGTAATGGCATGTTCAACTTCTTGAGGAATCACCAAACTGTTTTCTGCAGCAGCTGTGCCATTCTACATCCCCACCAGTGATGACGAGGGGTCCAATTCCTCTACATCCTCACCAACAATTGCTATTTTCTGTTGCTTTTCTTCCCCCGTCATAATAGCCATCCTAATGGGTGTGAAGTGGTATCTCATTGTGGCCTTGATTTACATTTTTCTAATGACTATCACTGAGCCTCTTTTCATATGCTTATTGGCCAGTTGTATGTATTCTTTAGAGAAATGTCTATTCAAATTCTTTGCTCATTTTTGAATTGAGTTGTTTTGTTATTGTTGAGTTGTATGAGTTCTTTATACATTCTGGATACAATTCCAGATATATGAATTGCAAATATTTTCTCCCATTTTGTGATTGTCTTT